TGTGTGTGTGTATGTGTGTGTGTGTGTATGTGTGTGTGTGTGTATGTGTGTGTGTGTGTATATATGTGTGTGTATATATGTGTGTGTATATATGTGTGTGTGTGTATATATGTGTGTGTGTGTATATATGTGTGTGTGTGTGTGTGTGTGTGTGTGTGTGTGTGTGTGTGTGTGTGTGTGTGTGTGTGTGTGTGTGTGTGTGTGTGTGTGTGTGTGTGTGTGTGGTGTGTGTGTGTGTGGTGTGTGTGTGTGTGGTGTGGTGTGTGTGTGTGTGTGGTGTGGTGTGTGTGTGTGTGGTGTGTGTGTGTGTGTGTGTGTGTGTGTGTGTGTGTGTGTGTGTGTGTGTGTGTGTGTGTGTGTGTGAGAGAGAGAGAGAGTGCATGTATGTATATACATGTGTATGTGTGTGTGTGTACACACACACACACACACACACACACACACACACACACACACACACACACACACACACACACACACACACACACACACACACACACACACACACACATATGTAAACCTACACACATACATAAATACATACATATGCATATATGCATACATACATATATACATACATATACATACATACATATATATATAGGTAGACATAGATAAAGAAACAGACAAGTCTGTACACATCAATATGTTGATGTAAACAGGTTGACATGAGGAAGTAAAAACAGAGGTTGATAATAGCAATGGACAGCTCTATATTTGGCCTTTAATACTCACAAGCACTACCTCACCAAGGAAACACTTTTCTTTTTCTTTAGAATGTTTACACATTCAACCCAACAAAGCAGAGAGAAGTAAAGAAAAAAAAAGGAGAGTGCATAATTGGACTGCAAATATCTAATCCTATAAAAAAGAAAATAAGATATAAATAAAATGGAAAAGGTTCTTCTTCACCAGTTTTTCACCATTTTTATGTGTGATATACACAACACAACCAAAAATGACACTATATATCTATTTGTACCAAATGGTGATATTGGTATGAAACTATCAAATGACAGACTGGACATAGCAAAAATGACATTCAAACAAAACCAAAATCATTTACAAAAATGATGCACTTTCTTAATACCTAGGTATCTAGCAAGTCATTTTTAATTTTGTATCATTTAGTGTAGCAGCTATAAACAAACTGAAGAATAAACTAAGGAATTACAGACTTTTCTTTTGTTTTCCAATCAAGAATAAAAACTAAACCAGCAATATTTATCCAAAATAAAACTCTCAATAAGCACAAATGGCAAACATACATGCCATATCCACTGTAATACAAGTTTGTTTATCGTATTTACACATAAATGGCTCTACAAGTGCTCAGTCACCAAGGAGTAAGTTATTAGTCCTACCCATCTCACCTGTTTACCCTTTTCCTTTATTTTTGGAAAGTTTCTGTATTATTTCACTGGCTTTAATGTTACCAAGACTTTAATAACAATTTAATAATCATAATATCAGTAAGAATAATAACAATATCGATATCAATAGTATTAGAAAAAAAAACAAAAACATTTTCCCGTAATTTAAAGGAATGAGGAAATCAGGAGCAGTCACTAGGGCCTACTGATAGGCTCCTTGGTGGCTGAGCACATGTGGAGTCATCTGTAAATAACAGAATTCACAAAAAAAAAATACAGGGGACAGTACATAAATCTGTAATGATGATCTTCTGCCAAGACTATATAATGGCTTTGTTACTCCTAACAATACTTCCAAACCAAAAAATAAACCAACTCACTCAGCACTGCATAACTAGTGATATTGAGAAATCTTTTGTTGCAAATGAATATCTAACTAATAAAACATACAAAAAATATCTATATGTATTAATCTATCTATAACAGTTGTGATCATGTTGATGACAATCATAAAAGTGTTAGTAATTACCATAATGATGAGAGAAATGAAAACCATAAAACCATTAAAAAGTACCATCTTAGCAGGTGCAACTAAGGCAGATGATTTTTTTTCTTTCTCTCTTTTTTAAATCAGTCCCAAAGGTATAGATATATCTATGCACTTGTGTGTTCAATGGTGAATTACTTAGAATTATGAAAGCACAAAATAGTAACTATGATTACAAACACATCTGTGTACGTCTCTATATACTTGTGTGCGCCTTCCCCCCTAAAACACACATATTGGATGTTAAGTATTTTATGTATCTAATAGTTGTAGGCAATGGTCCCTAATACTTATGTGGGCTATGCAGGCTTTTTCAGTTAAAGGTGCATAAAATGTTTGAACTACTCTTTTTGCATTTAATTGTGTCAGTTCAGACTATTGCTATGTCCTGTAACATCCAGAAATTATACAAAGGATATCTTACAGGACTACTATATTTCCGAGTCACATGTATGAATGTAACCGAGCTTGTGTGCATCATATGCATTACTGATGGTGATGATTCACAATAATAATAATATCATCTAAATATGTATAGATTAATATAAACATTTTCATGACATGCATGTAAACCAGAGCATTACATATATTTATTGCAGAATGATAATGATAATAATTAATAAAGATATGTAGACTTCAATTTTTTTTCCAAGATATGTGTCTACTTTTGAAATGGGGAGGGATATAATTCTAAAACAGGAGCTGGTATATATTTATATGACTTCACTATGATAGGGAAAATCTAGGGACACTGTCATAGAGAGGAAAAAACTACACTCAATGGTATATGAAATAATAAATGTAGGAAAATATAGACTATCAGAAATGAGGAATATAGGTCACAACAAATGCTGCACAGAGAATCAAATCCACTGTGACTGGGTGAGGGTTTGGGGACAAAGCCTGTGTCAGGAAGGTTTCTGGTTCATACAGCAACGTTTGTGGGTCCTAAGTGGTGCCCTCAGTTGTTGGATGAAGTAACAGTGACTTTATCTAAAGTCTTAGAGTTGTGCGGTCCTTTTCTAAACTATCATGTTGAGTATGCCTGCCTCTCTGTGCACATATATATAAAAATATACACCCAGAAATGCTATGCTTAATCATATATGACTATGAATACAATAGAATATCAGAAAGTGTATCTTAGCTACTTAATTTGGTAATTCATAGTACATGTCTATGATGTCCACAAAGATGGAGCCATTGTAGTTGTTGTACTGGTCACCTAGACCAATGATAGGTACTGGGAAAGAGGGTAGCCACAACTTAGTAAGAAGCCATCAGAGGACTGGCTGTAGGAATGGCCAAAATTGAGGGACAGAGGAGAACTCACTCTATAATTGTCTGTGGTCCTAACAATCTTAATCTTAATATAATACTAAAAAGTAATATTTCCGGCCCTGACTAGACTGATACTTTCAGCCAATCTAGAAAACACCCACAAGTCCACCTACAAACTCATGACATTCTCCATGCCTGCTGGTGCTCCAGTAAGGCAAACAAACCTTCAAGTGGTTTATGGCATGACAGGGCTTTGGACCTTGGCAATTCATCATGACATAAGGGGTCATGCCAAGTTCTCTCTTACTGAATATAGTTGGACTAGTTTTGTTGGCCAGTTTGTTGGTATGGAGGTTACAGTGATTACTTGATATTATAATGTAGGACTACAGATTACATTACAGCAAATTTGAAGTGGGTATGGATGAAACAATGCCGATCTTCTTAAAGGGGAAAAAAAAACTGTTCTATATATTTATCTGAACTGCAGGATATAACCAAAACTAACAAAAACTGGCATAAAACAACAAACCTATTCCATTTCTAAAATACTCAGACAACTGCTCAGGTATTTTATAACAAATTCCCTGGGAGGTCTGCAACAGCACTATAATCCGAGAGACAAAAATTGGCTAGTGGCTTCTTGTATTTACATCATTGTGAGTAGATTGAAATGTACCAAGAATTTTGATGCATTGAGCCCAAGCACAACGAAACAGATGTTCTCATTGGCTTGTCGAAATGCAATAACATAGGACTGGTTACCTAATACATTAATTATTATCTGCAGTATTGCTGGAAGTGTCTTTGAATTGATCGTTCTATCAATTCCGCGTAGTACTTTGCATAGTACTTTGCAAGAGGGCAACGTCATGATCGGGAAAAAAAAAACATCCAAAATCCATACAACACTGAGAAAAGATTCCAACAGTCGCAAAGCCCGAGGCATCATCGAACATACGGAGCAAAGCAACCCATACATTTAATCCTTTACGCAAAACATACAAAAAGTAGGCCTACTGATGTTCTTCTCAGTGCCTAAAAGGGCAGTCATCTCCCTCACCTACAAATCTCAATATTGCAAAATGAAAACAAACCCAAGCAACATGAAAATACCAACAAAGTCACAACACAGGATTTACAAAATAATATCCCCAAATAGACTTGGAAAAATAAATTATTACCTGAAAATACATCACCTGTCAAAGCCTCCCATCAAACCCCCACCAAAACGTGTCAAATTTCCCTTAAAACCTCTAGACATTTACGTGAAGGATTTCGTCGTATTTCCCGACACACAGATCAATTACTACACAAACGCATGAATAAAAGCGAGTAAAATAGAGGATTTATTATGGAATATCTTGACTGCCTCGAGTAACAATGTAAGTCATGTGATTCTTGAAGTTTTAGCTCCGGAGACCAATATTCTCTCGAAATTTCCCTCAAATAAAGCCCGAGAACCAAGCAGAACACAAAATCAGAGGACATTAAGTATTCTAGACACGGGAAAATATAGGAAATAAGGAAAAGGTTTTTAAAGTAAAAAAAAAAAAACAAAAAAAAAAAACCAACACGGCTTCAAATAGTCTCTCCCTTTCCCCTGTAGAAAACTCACCTATCGTCGATATAAAAGTGGTGTTGAAGGCGTCATCTGAAAACCGGAAGAGTATGCATGTTTTCCCCACGCCCGAATCACCTATAAGGAGCAGTTTGAATAACAAGTCATAAGTCTTCTTAGCCATTTTTCACAATAAAACTTCGGAAGGCGTTGGAGCGTCGACTTCCTTCCCCGATGG